CATACAAAACAGGGGAAAAAAAATGTCACACACAAATTGCACATCACATGTTACATCACATAATCTACATTATTGTTTACAACAAAACACATACATAAAAAAATAAAATGATAAAAAATAAAATAAAAATTCAAAAGAATTTATGACTTATTGGTGAAGACAAAATGTGGTCTCCCATCCTGCAGCAAACCAGCAAGATCACCAGGAAGGTAGTCAAGAAAAGGTTGCCAAACATTATAAAACAAATATTGCATTGCCCCTTAATATGGCATTGAGGCGTTCCAGAGGAAAAACCTTAAATATTTCTCTGTACCACTGTGTGACCGAGGGAGGTTTTTCCTCAATCCACTGGAACAAAACACAACGCCTTGCTAAGTAAGAGTTTACCCATTAACAACAGTTGCCCTGCAGATAGAGAGAGCTGCTCTAAATGTAGATTCAGAAGGAACACGACTGGTTCTGATTTAACTGTTTTGTAAAAAAAAATTGAACTTAGCTCCTGAGAAATATTCCTCCAATACCTGAGTATGAAGGGACATTGCCAAATACAATGATAGTAGGTCCCTACTTCCTTCTTACACTTCCTACAGAGGGGAGAGACTTGAGGGTTGATCTTGTTTAGAAAATGAGGAGTGCGCTGCAATCTATGCAATATCCTGTACTGACTCAAACAGTTTCTTAACAGATTCAAATGCATCTGACCAGATATCAATATCAAGATCAATCTCCAAATCCTTTTCCCATGACTCCCTGCTTTTTTTAACATTGGCGCAATTAAGAGAGTACAGTTTTCCATAAAAGAGTGAGATAAATTTTCTGTTATTGGAAGCAATTGAATTAAAAGTAAATTTCCACCTTTTATTTCCCTTATATTTTCTTTTTAGTATAGGTTTTAGTATTTTGTATTTTATTCAGTATTTTCTGCTGCGTGCTGCACAATACAGAGTAAATCTTTCATTTTGCATCACATATTCTTATATATTGGGTCTCCAGGATAATGCATGTTTTCCTCAGCATGTTGGATGCTTAGTGAACTGAATTTCATTCATAAAAGCTTTACGAAGAAAGAGGCCTACTTTAAAACTGTCTGCTCTGTGCCTGATAGTAAAATAGACTGCTTCTCAGACGCAGATTATTTCAAATCATAGATTAAATTACACTGTCAGTTATAGCAGTCCCCTCTTAGTCCTGGCCTTGGTTTAATCTGTTTCTGGAAAACTGGTCCAAAATGCAAGTCTGAGGATCAATTTCAAAGAAGTCATCACAGACGTCTGGTTATTGCTAATACGTTTTGGTATCACTTTAAATAAGTTTAGAGTTTTGAAGACAATAAAAAAAATATTTAAAAAATATTAAATATACAAAATATTAAATAGATATAAACATTACAGTATATCATAAAATACATACAAAAAATACAAAATAAATTTAGCTAATGTAAATTAATTGTAAAAGTACTGAACAGTGTTAACATTCATTCTCACAGATCAGAGTAAACATTTTGTACAAATAAAACATTTTGAAAACTGTCAGCCAAGAGTTTAGCTGTATAAATATGATTGAAATCACAGTGAATCATTTGGACACATTAGGTATGCTGACTATCTGAATTTAAGTACTTTACCTCAAAGAAAAGAAAACATAATAGTAACTCATGACAATAAAGTGACTCATTTAGTACAGTTTTCATTCCTATCTTCTGCTCTTTTCACTAACATACTGAAATGTTTTCTTCACTGAATACCAACCAGTTTGTGACTGATAATTAGCTAATGAGTTAATCAGTGACGCAGTTGTGAAATTATGACTAAGCCTTTCTCATATGTTAATAATTCAGTCTCACACGGTCCATGTTAAAATGTAATGCATGTCAGAAAGGATGTCAGTATGAATGTAACAAAGTTAGAAATCTGATTAAAGAAATGTCAAATCAGCTTTTTTATAACAGCATGCATGAAATAGTGCAAACCTCTAATGTAAAATTTTGAGAGTGCACAAGATGTCTCCATTTAATGAGGTTGATGGCTGTAATTGTGTGTCTGTATGGGTTTCTTGTTTTCATGTGTGCTCGTGAAAAGAGGGAGGGAGAAAGTGATCTGCTCTGTCATGAGACACTCTGTAATAAGGTCTGGTACGAGGAACAGATGGACATTATTTGAGAGACAGAACTGGAACTAAATGAGTGTAACGACAAGCCAAGTCCTTCAGCAGAGCAAGAGTGACGTGAAACTAATGGAGGATGAGAAACGAAAGGACAGAGGTGCAAGTGAGAACAGTGGAAGGGGTTAGTGTGCCGGAAAGACATAAATCATGGTTGCAAAGGAAAGAGAGAGTATTACAAAGGAAAGAGTAGCAACAGGAAAGAATGTGATGGAAAAAGAGAGAGAGGGGGAACAACAGAGATTCTCAGAACATACATTATACTGTTGCCTGTTTCTCAGACAACACATATTTTCTCCAAGGACTCCTCGTCCGCTTTTCCATCATGAAAGGTAATAACAAAACACCCTGGTGGAAAAAGAAGCTGATTTTTCACAGTGTTAACATCCTTTTTTATGATGTTTTATAAACAAAGTTCGGGAGGAGCACGTTCAGTTAATTAACATGAGTGGAGTGCACTCAGCAATCAATGATAAGAGGTATATATAGATTCAGCAATCTCACCTCACTCCATTGATAGTTTAGCAGCACCCCTCCACCGCCCCTTCTCCACACTTCCAGTCCTAAACACTTACATGATAGGGGGGAGTACTCTGGGTCCGGGCCAAACTCCGAGCTCGGAGGCCTCCCCCCGGACAGCACACCAAATACGCATTAAATCGTATCCACTCTAATTATATGTAAGTGTGAACTCGTGAACTATCAGTTGCCTAACAGCTGTAATGTATGGTACATACAGTGAGAGACACTTTCAACTTTGTTTTTATTTTGAAAAAAAAAAAAGTTTAATAATTATTTTTCAAATTATTGTTTATACAGTTTTATAAAATATATTTTTATAGTAGTGTTAGATTAAAAAATATATGATTGAATATATATACAGTTGTGGTCAGAATGATTGGCACCCCTGGTAAATATGATCAAAGATGGCTGTAAAAATAAATCTGCATTGTATCCTTTTTATCTTTCATTAAAAAAATTCACAAAACTCTAACCTTTCATTGAAGTAAATTAATTGAAAGTGGGTGGAAAATCACATTATGAAATAAATGTTTTTCTCTAAAACATGTTGGCCACAATTATTGGCATCCCTAGATTTTTTTATGAATAAAATATCTCTGAAGTATATTTTCATGAATATTTCAATTTTTTATCACACCAGGGTAACTAAACATGAAATTGTCTATATGACTTGTTTCACAGGAGTTTAAATATGAGGAAACTCAAAGGCCAAATTCCCTTAATCATCCATCACAATGAGTAAAACCAAAGAATATAGTTCTGATGTGCAGCAAAAGATTGTTGGGCATCACAAAATAGAAAGTGGCTGTAAGAAAATAGCTAAAATCCCCATTTCCACCATCAGGGCAAAAATTAAGAAGTTCCAATCAACTAAAGATGTTACGAATCTGCCTGGAAGAGGACGTGTGTCTATATTGTCTTAATGCACGGTGAGGAGAGTTTGAGTGGCCAAAGAATTGCAGAGATTAGTTGAGCCTTGGGGTCAAAAAGTCTTTAAAAAAAAAAGAATGAAACAACCACATCACCACATGTTGTTTGGAAGGATTTCAAGAAAAATCCTCCTCGCTCATCCAAAAACAAACTCCAGCATATTCAGTTGTCAGACACGACTGGAACTTCAAACGGGATGAGATTCTGTGGTCAGATGAAACTAAAAAAAGAGCTTTTTGCCAGCAAACCCACCATGTTTGGTGTAAACAGGGATAAAAAGTACCCCATGCCCACGGTTAAATATACAGCTGGATCTTTAATGTTGTGGGCCTATGTTTTTGCTGGAGGTCCTGGACATCTTGTTCAGATACATGGCATCGTGGATTCTAGCAAATACCAACAGATAAAAAATCAAAACCTGATGGCCTCTCCTAGAAATCTTATAATGGGCCGTGGTTGGATCTTCCATCAGGACAACAATCCAAAACAAACATCAAAATCAACACAAAAATGTGTCACTGAGCACAAAAGGAAGCTTCAGCCATGACCGTCCCAGTCCCAGACCTGCACACTATAGAAGATGAGTGGGCTGAACTGAAGAGAAGAAGCACCAACATGGATCTATCTGGTAATCTACAGGATCTGGAGAGATTCTATGGAGGAATGGTTTCTGATCTCTTGTCAGTTGTTCTCCAAACTCATCAGGTATTATAGGAGAAGACTCCTTGGTTGCAAAAAGGCAATAATTAATAAAAGGGTGCCAATAATTATGGCCAGCGTGTTTTGGAGAAAAACATTTATTTCACACCCCTAAATGCATTGAAGCAACTGCCATGTGATTGGTTGATTAGATAATTGCATTAATGAGAAATTGAACAGGTGTTCCTAATAATCCTTTAGGTGAGTGTATAGCAGACATTTTAAATTGTAATAACATTTCACAATATTGCTGTTTTTATTTTATATGAGACTTCAATTTCAAAAAATTACCAATGGTAGTGTATTATAAATGTCACAAAGCCATTCTTTAAATACATTAAATTAGACACTAGATGCTTTAAACAATCAGTTTGAAGTACTTTTCATTTTAAACATTCAATTCCTAAATCATCCTGTACTCATGAGGCATGGAGGAACAAATACATGCCTCATGTTTCTGACATCAGCACCTGTTATTGTAATGAGTTCACTGAGTTTGTTTGCCTTGTTTCACTCAGGCACAAATGACAAAAACTGCTACAATATTGTTATACAATAACTTGACTAACTGATTTAACGTGCTGAACAAATACTTTGTTTAAATGAAGCTGACAACTCCATTATGGCCAATACAAAATCAATCACCTTTTTTTCTTTATCTCAGGCAACTTTTTCTTTTCTTTAACCTCTTGTCTTTAGATATCATTAGAACTCTCTTTCCAATAACAGCTGCTGCCAGTAATCCCTGAGCTGCTTCACTGTGTCATGGCCATCACAAAACTGCTTTAAATCGTCCCATAGAGTCTGATGCATATAAATATGAACCACAACTACTCCTTGAATCTCACTTATCACACTATCCAGGTGAGCTGTTAATGCCTTCTTTGCTAAAGAAGTGTCTGTCCCGTACAGGTCGATATTAAAACGTAGAGACCCTCCATTAAATGGAATAGGATAGAGAGGTGTGTGGAGGCTCATGAACAGAGGTTTCGCACTAGAACCATCTACAAACCATGTCAAGTTTCGCCTTGCCAAGACGTGAAGGTTACTCTCCATGAGTTTCAAGGGCTGCCAGTCCTGGATGATAGCATTCCCTGGAAGCTGAAGTCTGGAAGACAGGTCTGAATCCAAGAGAAGGGCCTTGAGAGCATCCAAGTCCTTTACTGACACTAAAGGATGGCTGTTGGACCCATCTGACGCAAGCAGTTTTTCCTTCAGACCTGAGACAAAGCTATCAAAACCCTCAGAATTCCCCAACAGAGAGAGAACAGCCTGTTTTAAAAGACAGAAAGAGAAAACAGTGATAAATGTTGCTCTGGTAAGGATCAAAAGGTGGTGAGAGAGAGTCAAGAAGAAAGAAGACCTTTAGTGAAGTGCATAATTCATCTAAGAACAACAATATCAAAAATAACAATATAAAAAGATATAAAGAATGCAGATTACTGACTATTTTGATGATCAAACAATGAATATTTAAGTCTAAATTTACTTTTGCAACTGATTTAGAACATATTAAAAGGAAAGTATGATTGATAAGGTTTGCTGCGACATGTTTTTCACTTATTGTATTTTGGGACACTTTGCAATAAGGTTCAATTTGTTAACATTAGTTAATGCATTAGATATCATGACCTAACAATGCACGCAAAATGGTAGTGTTGTGTTCATTTATAAATGTTCATCGTTAATTAATGTTTGTTAATAAAACATTAAATAAAGTTTACATGACTTGAATTCAGCTACAAAGCAGATCTGCAGAAAACAGTGATGTCATCAAGAACTGAGCTGATGACATCACTGTTTTCTGCAGAGCTGCTTTATAACTGAATTGAACTCATTCCATATGAACTTTACAGTTATTGAACCGAACTGAATGAACACTGAACTGATTTCAGCTGAGTAATGACACTATATTCTTTTTAGAGCTGCTTTACAGCAGAATTTAATTATGTTTGCATCACTGAATATTTTTTCTGTTTATCACTGTAAAGCTGCTTTGAAACTTTGCTCTAATATATAAATAAAGGTGACTTGACGTGAAATATTTTTCACTTTTCAAGTTGTATCAATTTAACTCACCCGTCTGGCCAGCAGTGTGAACTTGGACAGTTTATCGGGCCCTGGGTCATCTCCTCTAGTGAGGCGTTTGGTCTTCACATTGGGATAGACCTTCTTTATGTAGCCATCAACAAATGTCTGGATCACTCCAGCCAGGCCACAGCCCCTTTCATTTGGACACACTCTTAATCCCTCAACTATCACTGTTTCACCTCCATCAACCACCAGGCCTGACTCTAGCGCCACCTAAAGGCACATAGTAATAATTATTTTAGGCTAAAAAATGTAAATACCTGTGTCTATAGCTGAATATTTTATGAAGTTAATAGAGAACACACCTGTAGTTTTGATGATAGCCTTTACCAGATAAAAATGCAGCACTTCATTATGCAGTAAAGTTGAACTGTTTGGCTAAGTTAACAGTGTGTTTAGTTGGCTGTTAATTGTTTTGAGAGCAGTGACATGAGTTTGGAGAAATGTGTCAAATCGATTGAGAAAAACTGTAATATGCTAACTACAAAAGCCAATCAGCAAAAGTGCTCCTCAAAATGCATGCCACCAGCAGAGGTTCACTGGTGTTGTGCAATAGCACAATATAATACTTGTGTAATGATAATATCAAACAATTACAAATGTGTAGTTGGCCTTATTTTACTGCCCTGGACTATATGAAGAGCGAAGCTGTCCAGTGGTATACGTAAATGTCATCCACCAGTCCAGAGTACAAGTATATGGGTCATGAGTCAATCACTATGCACAGCAGAGAACACAGGCATTGATGTGGTTAATTTCAGCTACAAGTTAAAATGTTGTCTTTCTTGAGAACTGCAAGCATTGTATTGATCAGTAGACACATCAGAGCATATTTATACCATTAGCATTTTTCCTATCATAGGGTTAGTAATAAAAAAAAACAAAAAAACACAGATGTTAAATGTTAATACATGTCCCTCAGTAACATTCAGGTTTAGATTACGAAATAAATAAGCTTTGGTAGCAGTTAATTTCTTTGACATCCTAGTTTTATAATATAATACATAATAAGCTTATATTGTATAGCTACACTATAATACAGTGTGTCTAGCCTCTGATGAAAAAATAACCTACAATTTTTCTGATGGCTTCTGGCTGAGGTTAAAGCTATGTAATATCAGAAAACACATGAGGTCTGTCAAACCTTTTTACTCATGTATCGCTTACCAGCTTCCTATCTCTCCGTGCTATAATAACCACTCTTCCTGGCTCAGTCATCCAGGAGTGATAGCGATGTGGAAGGTAGTCATTGCCACCATATATGTCTTGTGATATTGCCATGACGTCATCGTAATCTTCTGGTCTGGCCAGACAGAAGATCAGTCCATCACTTTCACCCACACAGTGTGAATTCATCGTTACTTCTGCACAGGGATTAACCGAGGACTGTAAAACACAAAATTTTTGTGTGTCTACTGTCTAGCCTAGTCTCAGAAACAAATAAAAACAGATTAAAACAACAATAAAAGTCTAAAATACCTTATTTAAATTGATTGTAATTATTAAATATGCAATTTAAGATGCAATCTGCTTAGCCTACGTAGCAGACAAAGTGTATTGAGCAACTTATTATTAAAACACCACCACTGCTAAGTGTGGATAACATTATAATTAAGCAAAAACCTAATATCATTCTGGATTACTGTCTACTAAGAAGACAATGGACTTGCTATGATCATGTGATCACTAACCACTTATTGTTAGAGCACTGATATAAATGCAACTACATCCTACTTTCAAAAACATAGCCTAAGCAAAGCATTACTGATCTAAGTTTACAAGCGATACACCAAACGCCGTGCAGAAGATTTCTTCAGTAATGTAGTGTTTGTTGGGAAACGAGTCTCAGTCTGCAGGACTTACCGCGTGACGTATCGACAGTCGTGTGATTTTGACGATGTGTTCCAGAAGACAAGGACGACAAGTTCCTCCCCGGACGAACATGGACTTTACTCTTGCAGGCTTGTTAAACTTTTGTTGCCGGTTTCACAGACAAGGCTTAAGCCAAGTGCCAGACTACAATAGGCCTACATGTTTGAGCTGTTTTAACTGAAAGCAACTTGCACTGACATATCTTAAAATATTTCAGTGCCATTGTTTTGTCTCAAGATGCACCCCAGTAATTGTTTTTTTTTCTAAGATACGTTTATAAAAGCTACTTAAATGACTAATTTAATTTAACTAAGGCCTAATCCTGGCTTAATCTAAGCATTGTCTGTGAAACCAGGCCTTTGTGTTTAAAAATGTCCAACCTTTACACAGTCTGAACCTCTTTCTTTTGTTTTGTTGGCATCTTTTATTGTATGTCAATAATTTTCCAACATTCGATACAGTGGGCACAGAGATCTTTTTGAGACGTTTCGAGTAAATTAAAAAAAGTAATTAAATAATAATTAGCCTCTTTAAAATAATATACAACCTGAAGCCATTTCCTTTTCAAAAACAGTATCGCAGCCCCACCCAGCGGGCACAAGGCGACATTGCAGAGTTTATGCTCAGAGGATGTACTGTTATGGAAACTTACAACCACGGGCAGGAAGTATAAAACCAGCACAAGATCTAGATAACGGAACTGCATAACATTTTCTTGTCCTATGTTATATATAGTCTATCACTTATCATAATAGTTAGACTTGGCATTTTTAGAAATAAAACAATAGATTTGTAGGGGGAGGGGAGATTCTTTATTTAACAAGGTATTTCAAAGTATTAAAAGGTATTAAATAGTCAAATGATCCTTTGATATAAGTAAAATACATTTTTAGCATGACTTAATGAACAATAAGATACTTAGGCATTATGAATATTCTATATAGGCTATACTTGGACTTCTGGCAAAGACTTATGCGATAATGTATGTTAGATTGTAACATTAAAAGATTCATGAGATTATTCAGTGATGAAAACATGCATGTTTCTTAATCTGAAAACAAAATATTTATTCATTTAATAATTGTTATTTATGCAATACATTAGTATTAGCTTTATACTATTTTACTTTACACAAATATGATTAGGTTGCTCTGGAAAGACTGGATGAACTGCTGAAATAATCATTCAGTTGTATCTGGCCTCAAGGGGCTGCCCTCTACATTTCTCTTTGGTAAGGGACTCTGTCCTAACAGGTGATAAACATGTCCTTGATCAGTCATTGTACCTTGTGTCCATGCTTTGGGTTGGCCTTGGTAAGACTTCCACAGCCGGCCATAGAAAAGGTCTTTTTTGATCTTGGCATAAAGTTTTGAGGGGTCAAAGCCATTTGGAGAACTTTGAGAAGTTGGTGCATCATCTGATTCTTCTGCATGTGTCTAAAGTAAGAGATTTACATTTTAGGATGGTTTTTATTATTGTTATTAAAATATGGTGAAACAATATGTACTGAAGAATATATCGATGTTGCCGCAAACAAAGGTCGTGGGAATTGGTCATGCAGAGCAGCACTCAAACTTTAACCGCAACCATGCACGTTCTTTAGAAAATAACAGGAAACTGATACCTTTAATGTACTGTAATCACTTACTATGATAAAGTGTGTTCGAGGGTGGAAAAAATGGCACAGTTAAAATTCAGTACACTCCACTTTTCTCACTTTTGCACTGCAAATTCCAGATTGCTCTGTGAGCATTTCAACAGTGACTGCTGTTGATATGCTTTTTGTGAATAGTCACATTTACCATTTATAATTCTAGAATGGTACTGAATGAGCCCCTTAATGTTTTCATGTTTAGAATGACTATTTAGAAGAATAGTAAATTATTAACCTCACTCATCTTCTTAACGACAGAAACTTTATCTCTAATTATTTATTCATTGTTTTCTTTATAGCTTTAAATTCTTACCTCAGACGGTGAGTCTGTCCGGTTGGTTCGTATTTCAAAAGACTTCATCCTGCAAGGTCAAATTTCCCATGAAATTACTCTCAGATTTTGTAAATGTTTTTTTTTAATATGCATCTTTTTGCTGTGTTGATCTTTAATGTATACGTTTATAAATATTAGTCTTTATTGTTTTTGTGTAAACATATGTGATCTCTACCTTCTGCAGTTGTTATTTCTGCATAAGTAGAATAGGATGGTCAGGATTAAAAGGGAAAGAATCGTTCCAATGATAATTGCACCCAAACGTCCAAATATTCCCAGCTTTGGTTTTTGCTCCATGTAAGTAAAATCTATGACGAAAATATCATAATAAAATAAAGAGTCTCAAATGTATGGCAGAGTATGTGTAGGACTACATGTGCAAGCATTACCTTTTATCGTAGACGCGTTGATACTGACATCTTTCTTACTGATATCAGTACACTGCTCCAGTTTACCAGAAGGAAATGTTATGAATGCACAGCAGATGTGCACAACACTCTCATTTGATGCTACTTTAATGATAAGGGATGATGATTGACGTGGAGATGTTTTTTTCTGTATCTTCACTGTAGTCTTATAGTCACCATTTATGTAAGTTCCAAAATATGGATGATACGTGCCCAGTTTGGTGCGATTCGGGCCTCTTAGCATCTCCCAGTTGATTTGTGTCATATTCTCGTCCCCTGAGAGGACACAGGTAATGTTCTGACCATCTCCATCACGACTGTGACTGATAGAAACATCACTGTTTGATTTGCCTGTTAAAGAACACCAATGAAAAACATGCAGAGATTATAAGGATCACTGAGACACAACCCTAAAAATATTAAATAATGAATGCTTAGTAAAAACGCTAAATGCTTACATTCAGAAAAATAGAGTTTAGTGTTGTTACTAAGGCTGTCACGATTATTAATTAATCGTATGATGAATCACAATTATTTGAGATAACCGCAATAATTGTGCAGTTTAAATTCCAATTACATTTTGCCATCCAAATAAAGCAAATTTAAGCGCTTAAAGAAATGCCATCAAATGTGGAAGAGAGAAGCTATTATAAAGTACATAGTCAAAGGTCTTCCTTCATATGAAATGAAGGCTTGTGTGTTTAATCAGACTGCATTATATTATATTATAAATAATTACACAAGTACTTATATAGATATTATTAAATTTCACTACATTACAAGTAAATCATATGGGCCTATATTATTATATTTTTTATTAATATATACAAATCCAAGTAAAAACACTGTAGTAACAAAACAATTAAATCTTTAATCGTTATTAATTGTATCGTCAGCACAAAATTTTTGATCGTGACAGATAGTTGTTACTGATATATATATATATATATATATATGTATAGGCCTATATCTTTTTTATGGATTATTTAGTTAATCTTCCTATCCAGTAAATCTTTATTATTATAAACTTAATTACTAATAAGAATAATGCATTGGCTTTTTCAAACATATGATGCCACAATGGAGGTGTTTGTTTTATATAGTCTCAGAAGTGGTTTATATAGGCCTACCGCAATATATATACTGCCCTAAACAATGTTTTAGAGAGACGAGTTTATGACGCATGTTGAAACCACAATACAAGCTGTGTTTAGAAACAAAAAATGTTACTCGCTCTATTACATTTATTCATCTTTTATAATTATAATAAAAAAAGAAAATGCAAAATCTAATCAGGATAAATAAGTCAATAATGTAAATTCTAAAAAGTGAATTCTAAAAAGTAATTCACAGAATGAAAAAGGATATGCTTCAAAAGCAACCCATTCATTGAAAGCTAATACAGCTGAAAGAGTGGCTGTCAGTGAAAGTGCCGTGAAGGTGTTGACCTATTGTGTCAGCATTATTGTGTTATCAATATCTGAAAATATTTTGATACATGATAGCTTAATTTACCATACAATCATATTTGTATATTTGACTTTAACCGGTCAAATTTATAAATAAATTTGGCATCCTCTGCTCAAACTAATAACACAATATTCACTTACCTGATTCCAGGAAGGCAAGTATGAGAAGAGCACAAAGAAAGTTGCTGCTCATGGTTGTCACGCTAAACCAACACTGACTTTCTCTTCCACCTGTTTCCTACTTTGTCAGATTTTTTTAGAGCGTTGTTATACTGACTTCACACTAGACCTCTATATCTTACCATCAACCATTTTAAATTTGCTTTGTTCTTTCTTTCTTTCTTTCTTTCTTTCTTTCTTTCTTTCTTTCTTTCTTTCTTTCTTTCTTTCTTTCTTTCTTTCTTTCTTTCTTTCTTTCTTTCTTTCTCTTTTTTTTTTTTACTTTTATTGCCAACTCAGATCTTTGATGTCTCTAAGAAGGAAATGATGCTTAGTGAACGTGGGAGTTTCCACCAAGCATGTCTTTCTACCCAGAAACGGCACTCAAATGAAATTTTATGAAAACGTTTAAAAGTATAAGGCTAGTGTATTATTTGAAATGTAAAAATTATTATGCAAAAACTGTAAGTAAAGTCATGCTCACTAAATTAAAAAATTTGCACTAGAAAATGAAAACAAAAACAAAATCATCTACAGGAAATGGAATCATAATGGAAACGGCAAGGGATAGCCAAAATAATGGAAACAAATCAAGTAGCAAGTGCTTAACTTCCATTCTGAGGGCAGCTTTAATACACATTGAAATGATGCCATACTTAAACTGTACATGATATTGCCCAGAGGAAGTTAAAGAATTTTACTACAAGGTGACAGTTGAGATGGCCAGACACACACACACACACATAAATGTCAATCTAGGGCTGTGCTGACATTCTAGAGCAGTGTTTGCCAACCAGTTTTTGTCTTATGCCCCCCCCCCCCCCCCCCCCCCCCCCTCCATCTGTAAGACTGTAAGTACATTTGCCACCAAACCATAAAGATGTTCATTTTGACTTTTAATATAATTTGGTATTATCATTAATATCATTAAATTATCTATTATAATTAACTAAAAAAAAAAAAAAAACAGACTCACTGATGTAAGGGATCATCTGTGTTTCATGTCTGGTTGGTGGGTTTTGTTTAGTTTCCTGTGTTTCAGTTAGTTTCCATGGGTTTTCATAGAGTTTGATTATCAGCTGCACCTGTCGTTTGGTCTTGTATTTAACCCTTAGTCACTGTTTAAAAAGGACGACGCTTAAGTGGTTTGGGGTCGTATTGACCCCAAACTTTTAAAGAGTGATTGCATAAGGAAATATAAATTTTTTATATGGAAAACTATATATAATTTTTTTAATTCACTTCTCAACTATACAATAATGCTGTGTTTTTTGGGAAATTTTTAGGTTTTCTACATATTTACTGCACAATTACATAACTAGGCCATAAATTGGCACATGAAAAATGATTTTTTTAAAGAAAAAATCACTTAAATGATGATGATAATTAAATCTAAATAGTTTTTGGACATTGCTCTATGTGTTAGGGATAAAATACTACCATCTGGTGGTTAGTCGAAAAACTGTTTTTCTTACAGTTAAGGAATTATTGTGCAATGACCACATCTGTCCAATAGAGGTCCATAGAGACTCATTCATTTTCCCTTCATTTGTCTTGATGCTTCAAATTCTCCTAACAACTTGATATATATGATAAAAATATTTTATGCAATTCACAAAATATATATGTCAAATTTAGAGTTTGTTGTTGTTGTCTGATATATTTTGAATTATTGTTTTTGCAAATTATTATACATACATTTGCATAAACATTACAAGTCAGCACTATGACATGATTGTAATCACACACTATTTATTTCAGAAAATTATTTATCAAGAATTATTTATTTTTTTAGAACAAGAGATTTTAGAACAAAATAAATTAAATAAACCAAGTAAATAAACCAATATAATACAAAACAACAGCACCAATAAACTGTAATGAACAGGATGCATACATTTGCATACATGTGTGTGTTTGTGTGTGTGTGGCTGTGTGTGTGTGTGAGATAGAAAGCTCGTTCCACTTTGTGTTTATGCTCTAGGACCAGACCTTGATTTAAATATATATTTTTTTAGATTTATGCCAGTTTTGTTTATTTTATTTGCCAATATCTGTAACAATGCTCTCGGTTGCAGTCACATACATGTGTGTGTTTGTGTGTGTTTGTGTGTGTGTGTGTATGAGATAGAAAGTTCTTTCCACTTTGTGTTTATGCTCTAGGACCAGTCCTTGATTTATATGTGATTTTTTTATTTATTTATGCCAGTTTTGATTATTTTATTTGCCAATTTCTGTAAAAAAAATGCTCTCTGTTGCAGTCACATAGATTTGTGTCTGTGTGTGTATGTGTGTGTGTGTGCGTGTGTATGAGATAGAAAGTTCGTTCCACTTTGTGTTTATGCTCTAGGACCAGACCTTGATTTAGATGTCTTTTTTTTTTTTAATTTATGCCAGTTTTGTTTATTTTATTTGCCAATTTCTGTAAAAATGCTCTCTGTTGCAGTCAGGACATGTGTGTGTTTGTGTGTGTGTGTCTGTGTGTGTGTATGAGATAAAAAGTTTGTTCTACTTTCTATTTATGCTCTAGGACCAGACCTTGGTTTATATGTAGAACATTTCAGATTTATAATGGATTTACTTTTATTTTTTTGACAAACAAAATAAAAAAAGTCATTTTTTTCATTTTCCCATTCATTTTCAATTGGGGTCATTTTGACCCCAAACCCCTTAAATGGTAAAAAAAAATTTACACACCTTTAGAACAACCGAATCGAACCCAGTTTTTTTGTGCATATTTAGATAGATTATGTAGGAAAAGTCACAGAGTTTTATGGCCCTGAGATGAAGGGAACATTTTAAAAAAATCAAGGAAAAGTCCAGTGGGGTCATAATGACCCCAAACAGTGACTATGGGTTAAGTTTAAAGTGCTTTCAGTGCTTCTGTTCTCGTTGCATAATATCCGGTTGTTCTGTTCCTGGTTTTTTCCCCCTAAATTTGCTGCTGCGATTAGATCCGTTTCCTCATAAATACCTGCAACCACGGCCGTGACAACTGAGTGCGTTCATTTCCTTTTAATAGTAGTTTGTTGTAACTAATTAAAAATATTTATTCAGTAATGCTAAAGCACTGTAAAATATTGTGTGTATCTGTAAAATATGACATCTTCAATGTTATCCAGATGAAGACTTGAACTGAAGACTTTTTTATTCAGAAAGGCTTTTATGTGCTGATTGTTTTTTATTATTTTGTAGTTACTGTCGTTCTCCTGTGTAGCACTTTGAGATTCTCGGAATGAAAAGTGCGTTATAAATAAAATATTATTATTATTATTAAGACTTGATTGCATTTTAGAGGCCACTTAAAAAGTCTTGCTTGCTCACCTATACGCATCTAACCCCCTGTTTCAGACAAGGCTTAAAGGTATTGTAGGTAGGAATTTTATAAAAAAAAAAATCCAAATTTGTTTAAACTTTCTGTATATATCAATGCATAATTAAGATGTAAGTACTCTGATTAAAAGAGTATAAAAATCGAGTGACCGTTTAATCTGCACTAAACACAGCTTATTATTTCCATCTGGGACGAAACCATAGACAGTATAAGAAGTGGACAGAGCCATCTCATTGGAACTCAGTTGAGACAGTTGAAGCCCATTTTTAGCGATTTTTGAGCACTTCCGTTCCTGACGCGCAGACTCAAACCGACTCAAACTAAGCTTGATGACGTGAGCAACCTGTCTGACAGACGTTAATCTTCTAGTAGCTGTGCGTGAAAATTGCCAACGTTAATCTTGCAGAGACGGGGAACTTGAGCAAAGAGTTCTTTGGTGTGAGTGAGCGGGAGTAAGTATTCCGCTGCTTTTATGGACTCATTATCTATGGGCTTCTCCCTTGACGGGACGCGATATTTTTTTTCACAGGATGGTAGGGGAAGACTCATGAATATTCATTAGGGAACTCATCCCTGATTGGTCTCAACCCCAGTGACTGGTAGGTTTAGGGGCGGGGTTAGGGGGTAGGTCATCAGACCAATCAGGGATGAGTTCCCTAATGAATATTCATGAGTCTTCCCCTACCATCCTGTGAAAAAAAATATCGCTGATGGGACGTCCCCCCGATTGCCTGCGAGCTTCTCCTCCTGTCTGTACGGTAATTTCTGTACAGCGCGACAGAGAGTCGAGTGGTTATGACGCAATCGTTAGCCTATTTTTACTAAATCTGTTTCTACGGGGCAATAATGTAACATAGAAGGTAATGGAGCCTTTTAAACATTGTCGTGTTTCTTTAGAAATAAATAATGGACAAATGGAGTCTTTAAACGCCTCAGATGTAAAGTTATTCGCTGTCAAAGTGACGCCAAAATGAATGGGAGTCAATGGAAATGCTAACGCAAGTGAAGTTCTGCTACAACATGGCGGCACCCGGCCGGCTTCAACTTCCGGTCGATGGATTACCCCCTTGGACGAAACAAAGGATTGGCTTAGGTGACTGTCACTCTCTCGCAACCATGGCAACCACCCTTTTACCACACAGGACCTGCCCACTTGCGCGTACCCGTTTGATTTGAGGAATTCAAGAGGCACGGAACCTAGGAATAGCAAAACAATGGCAGAGAAAGACCAATCAAAATTCACATATGCAGTTCGCGAAGGCAAACCAGGCAAAAAAAGGAAGACAGTAACGTTACTAGAAAAGGTAATGAACAAAAAGTCTTTGGATAAACAACGAAATAAAACGCGTGTCAATATCGGCGTGGCTTTCCAGCGATGGCGAGAACTGAGAGACCTCAGGGACTGAAAAGTGACGCCTTGTGATGACCTCTGCTTCGCCCTCGACCGCGGATCTGTCCTCGAGCTGACGATGCGGTACTTGTCTCTGGAGTGTAGTCCTCATCAGAGTCAACAATGCTTTCATCATGGAAACTCTTACATGCAGAACACCATATATGTTATGAATGTTACACGAAATTCATCTTCATCACAGTGTAAATGATGGCAATGGAAAAACGTGTATCATGCAACCTGTTTTTAGCTTTGCCTTATAGATAACTAGCTCGTTAGTGAATCAATAAATATATATTTTAAACTTTACCAATATCAATATGCTAGCTTGACAGTGAGTACTAAAATACATCTTATTTGTTTATCTT